TTGTTTATAATTACATTTTCTATAAAATATCAATAAAATTGTATTTGTTGGTTGCGAAAGCTTGAAAATTTAATAGAAGGCTCCTAGTATATTGTTTCAAAGGATGATGAAAAATATTAAAAATCCTTAATCACATTTTTTTTTATAAGCATTTAAAGTTCAAACATGACCCATATGAGAATTTTCGTGTTTCTGCAACAATAAACAAAACTTTACAAATATCGGCTAACAAAATCGGTAGTACCAAGCTCAACAAACATAATCCTATGTACAAAAATAATTAAAAAAATCGTTTTAAATAAATGATTTTTAATAACTATATTATATTATATTATTACATCGTACGCATATAGTTTACAGCGTCAGAAATACAGTTTAATGCCACTTTCGGTGTATATACAAAATAGTCACGGAATAAAAACATATTAACGCCTTAAAATATTTTCCGGTTTCTCAGAAACAGCATATATAAACATAATAATAATAATAGTAGTAATATTATATTGATATTGCACAGTGAATATATTTTCGACTCGAATAGACTTATGTTGTTGTAGTACTTTTACGGTTAAATTATTGTTACATAATATATTATATAGTACAATGTATATCTATTTATAATAATATGTTAATATTAGCTATTAGATATTTAATTCACTATAGTTTATCTATGGTATTCGCCTAACTATAAATAAGTACAAACAAACACATTACATTCTATAAAAAAACATATTTATCGTAATAATATTACGATTCGTACACTACCTATGTCTAAAAACCATAATATTTATTTCGTTTTTTTTTCGACTAAATGAGCAAACAGTTTACATCCTAACTACCTACATATCTTAATACTTTATACATACTTAAATCATAATTTATTATAATATTGATTCGATTGACGACGTTTTGCACTATATATTTTGTTGAAGTTTACCGCGGTGTTGTTCACACATTACACGCGCCGATAATATTACATTACATTAACTATTTTACGAAATAGACTATAAAATCGAAAAAATAATTATAATCTAAAATAATAATAAAAAATAAAATACAGTCAATGTGTAGTGGCTCGACACGTAAATAACAACGTGCGTCAGTGATCGTATAAAATATGTATTGTCTATAAATATATATGTACACACACACATACACACACACATTTAGTATTATATAGTAACATTATCGCGAAAAAATATATAAAAGGCATTAAAAATATTATGGGCTGCAAGTAAATAATATGGATTTTGATCTCTGCGCAGTTTAGTTATCTCGTAAACGAAAATCTTTAATATCGCGTCGACAGTAAATTGTAATACGATACCGTCATACGTGTAGTAATATTATTCCGGTCGATTGAAATGGCACACGATTTGTAAAAAATAAAACGATAATAAAATATAATATTCTATCGGTCCGAGACTGATTACGAAAACCCAAAACGAACCAAATAGGATGGAGATAAATTTCATGCCGCAGTAATATTATCCTCATCATGACGATGAATCGTACTTACGCGATAAACAATAGTAAAATATTATTATTAAATTATTAAAGTGGCTAGCGCATAATATTATTTAAAACATATCTCGGATACTAAACGTATATATAATAATATATATTATATATAAGTATATATTTATGTAAATATATGAGTATGTGTGTGTCGCAAGCATAATGTATATAATATAAAAAAAAATTTGTCGAATATTTATTTACAAAAATGATTATTATTACTAAGTATTATATGATAAGACACAGAGGCGCGGGCGATCATTTCCTGGGGTTCGTGTTATAGTCCACGTACACCCTGACCACCTCTCCCGAGTACTTCCTCTGAGACGGCATAAAGTAAAAGTCCGGTTGGAGCTGATCTCCGGGCCCACCAGCCGACTGCTGCTGATGCGGCGGTCCGTGGTGCGCCGCGGACGTCCGGTTGGGCGGCCTTTGCGTGTAGTAACCGCCGTTGTGGTGTGGCGGCTGTTGCGCGGGCCTGGGCAGCGAGTAAGTGCCCGCCGCCCTGTCCTGGTGGTGCATCTGCTGCTGGTGGCCGGGCGGTGGCGGAGGGCGGCTGTGCATGTGACGGCCGCCGCCGTTGGCCGCCTGCGCCGTGGTAGCGGAAGGCCTGTGTAACGACCGCGATTCTGCGTAATGGTTACCGCCGCCGCCACCGTTGTGCGACACCAACTTTGTGGTTAGCGGTATGGTGGACGTGTGGCTCAACGAGCTCGGCGACTGTTTCTCGTCGCCGTCGTACTGGTCGAACGCGTAGTTGGTGTTTGGTCCGCCGCCGCCACCGCCGCCTCCGGACGAATAATCTTTCCAGGCCGAATTCACGCCGCCGTGATCCTGCGCACGCGAAAAAAATAAAAACAATTATTGGATAATCCATAGAAAAAATTTCATAAATGTGTCAGTATTATTATCTGTGTATCTTGTGTATCTCCTCGGGCTTTCCGATGTATAGATTGGCCGTCGATCGTTATGCGATGCGATTCGCTAGCAAAACCGTAGTTTTGAGTAAATTCTTCTTGGGGACCAAACTTAGTCTCCTGCCTATGATGTCAAATCGATAAATTTTTTTTTTTGTCTCATCGATTTTATTTTATTTTATTTTTTTTTTGTTTGGTGCTAGGTTAGAGGTAGTAATGAGACTCGAGTTTTTAGAATTTAAGATTGTTAAATAAAATTGAGTTCACGCGTAACGTAGTTATTGCACGATATCGTTGAAAGGACGTTACTACATCGAAAAGCCTTTGGTCTTTAGACCGACCATGGTCATAATAATTATTGTGATAATAAGCGTGAGAAGTCTACGATTTGTGCCGAAAACAACCTTTTTTTACACCACTCCGTGGGAGAAGATGAGAATATTATAGGATACTGAAGTCAACCGGTGACCTCTATTATCGTTTTATTAAAGGTTGGTTTCGGTGCAAACAAAACCACTCTCCGCGGTTTACCCCCGTTTTGTTTTCTATAATACATATATACAGCAATTATTATTAATGTAGTCACATTTCACAACGGCGTAATAAGAATAATATAATATTTACAAATACAACAAGATAAAATAATAATAATAAGTGAAAAATAGCTTTACATTTTGATAGTAGTGATAGTGTGAGTGTGGGTAGTATTATAGTGGTAGTAGTAGTAGTAGTAGTAGTAGTAGGATAGTAAGTGGCAGTAATATCAATGTTAATAAAAATAGGAGCAGTGTGCAAGCGGTTTTTTTGTTTAAGAAAAGAAAATCGTTCTACGGTGGAAAAACGTGTCCGCCTATTTCTGTACAACGAGGGCGTATTCTATAGGTACTAGTTTTATTCGCGTTTCGACCCACATTCGCAATCATAATAATATTACGGCAATACATTTTACGTGAAGTCAATTTTTTTTTATCGGAGTAGTAGCAGTTATAGGCTTTATAATTACCACTTTTCTACGAAAGCATAGGTACATTTTTATTCCGTCGATTTGTACCATAATATTGTTGACTTCTTGTGTGAAAAGTGAAAAGCAAAAAATGGTAGTAAATAATAATAATAATATTGTACGTTCGAAAAGTCGGTACATATTTTCACGTGCATAGTGAGTAGAATATGTATAATATTACTATTATTATTATGTAATGATTTGTCATTGAACCAACGAAATAGTAGTTTTAAATGTAAAATACCTATTAGTGTGTATTAAACGCAGTTATAATGTCGTTTCGGATAAAATCACTTATAGGTACTTAGGTACCTACGACTAGAAAAAAAGCAATCAAACGAATATAACAGGCACGAATATACGAAACGATGGTTTGTAAAGAATTCAGAGATCTAAAAAAGGGGGTTTATTGAAAGACCTCAATAGAATGAAAAAAAAAATATTAACAAAACGTGAGAAACACCAGCTGCGTAATATTGTATTATATGTGCGGCAGTCAAATGCAGAGTTAAATTAATAGTGGGGACGAATGACGAAGCAAAAGCAAGTAAATAACTTCACAATCGCAGGTATTATTATATTATTAGTCGAGTTATCGAAATATTTTAAGTTTAAAAACATCGACGTTTTTGAACACGATTATTACCGAATACAAAGTGAACATTATTAAAGTCGATGAAATATACGCTTATTACAATATTAAAGATTAAATCTATGCTGGATGGGCACAAAAATCAATATTTTGATAGTAAACCAAGTGAAAAAAGTTAGTAAGAAGACTAAAAAATAGGATGATAGCCATTATATTATGATCATGCTTGAAATAATAAAGGGTGATTCCTCTTATATCTCATAATTATTATTTTTCGAACAGTTCAAACGTAGGTACTCAATTATTTTTGTTTCCAAATTAACTAGCTGCGTCTAGGTAGGTACTTGTATTGGCACATGGCCAGATTTTTAAGTTACATAATACGTGAAAATTAAATTTTTTAACGCTTCTGTGTAACCTGTTATTATTATATAATTGTGTAGTCAAAAATAAAATAAAATAATTAAAAGTTTCACAGTTAATTACCTAACATAAGTTGTTAGTATTGAATAATGAAAATTAATCTAAAAATAAATTGGTTCGTTATTGTATTATACTTACATTATTATCAAACTATTGATTGTAAATTGTTATAAATGTATATATCATTGGTTAGATAAATATTTCTATTCTTAAAAATATATGACATTGACATTTTTTAAATAGTTGTGTTTTAAAATCGAATCAGTACGAATGGGTAAAAAATATAAAATAATTGAATCCTACTTTGTTTGCAAAAGTATGATATTGTGAAAAACTGATAAAAATATGCAGTCTTCGTGACTTATGAGTTATATAAGTTATAATATATAATAAGGATATCACGCAAAAAGAAAAGAGAGACAGAGACAAAGAAGAAGTATTGATCAGACTCACCGGGTAATATACTTATACGATATGCGTTATGTTTTATTGATGATTTTTTTTTTTTTTTTTGATTTTCGATATATTTTTTAAATTTTGATTTTGATTAGTAACGATGTGTGACGTGTTCTGCTCGGATAGGCGCCCAATGACCAGTGGTGTACATATTGTAAGGGTCGACAGGTGGCCGATATGCGGCCTGAGCTCCAGTCGGGACCGAATAGACCAGCTATACAATTATAGTTATATACGATTACTGCAAGCTCGCCAAATGTTGACGAATACAACAATAATAAGCCTAATTATATTATGTACGACGAAGCTAACAATAATAAAGTAAAAGCTCTACGAAAGCCGTTAATATGGATGTACTACATAGTATAATATAAACATGATGATGATCTATATAATAATTCATGATAATAATAATGTGTGTCACCGTAAACTCAAAAATGCAGCATGACAACGGCAATGACAATAATTACCTTGTGGTTTGGTCTAGGTCTTCGAGCTGTCTTGTAGATGGTGCATCCAGCTTGAACAATGGCGATAAACACCAAAGCGGAAATGCATCCTATAACGATCCACAACTTTGTAGTGGACAATAATATACTGTCATTGACGTGTTCCTCTAACGGAATCGTACTGGACACTGCAAATCATAATATATAAAATAATAGTATATTATACAGTTGAACTATTATGATGTCGATATTGTACAATGTATCTATATAACCGAATATACTAAATAAAATATATTATAGTTTGCAGACAGAGTTGGGAAAGGGGTGAGGGGTATGACCGATTACTTGGTTATACTCGGTAGTATAAACGATTTTCATAAACGAATCAATCACTTAATGATTTGTAATCATATACTACCTATTCAATATTCATACTGTCTTTGTTTTGATTGTCAAAAGCAAAGCTTTACTAAAATCGGCTTTGTTATAAATTATACGTGTATAATATACTATCGTTTAGTCTATCGATAATTTTAAATTGAAAATGGATAAAAAAAAGGGTGTACCTAACTAACGAAATGTACATTATATTTCATATCACTTACGTGGTGCTGCTTCGAAAACAAAGTACTTAGGGTCTAACGATAGAGCTCCTACGTGGCCGCTGTTTACGGTACTCCTTAAAACACGCTCCAACTGTTCGGCACCCTCGTCCGTTCCCAATGCACGGCCTCGAGATCCACCGCCACTCTCGTCTAACTCGACACTCATTTTGGCAACCACGTTGTCGTTCTCTCTGTAATAAAAATAAACACAAAATCACTCAGTGAAATAAAATATAACGCTTAACGGGTTATATATAACTAATCGGCCAATGTTCGGAGAGGTACATGAAGATCATTTGGTGAAAATAATACTTCGGTACACAATGCACTCAAAGCGCGCTCGCGGTTAATATGGTAATGAAGTAATCAAAATATTTGTGTAATACATAAGTACAGTAAAACTCGCTTAAGACCCTCTTCGAGGGACCAGCACAAAAGAGCGTCTTAAGCGAGCTTTACGCTGTATTACAATATTATAATATACGTACTGAGAAAATTCGTCGACGCTGATCTTGTAGAATTCGGGCAATTTCGTCAAGGTTTTCTTGAAACCACTGGTAACCGTATTGGCTAGGGCGTCAAAGTCAGGACTTCCAGCCGGGGGCACAACGAAATTTTCACCCAATTTCACCAACTTGATGGCCACGTTGAACGCCGCTTTCGGCGCAGTCGTGGTGGTGGCCGATTCCCAATCTTCTTCTGCAAACAGACATATACATATATAATCACGCTTGAGTCAAAAACACAACTATGTAAATGTTGTAAATTAGCTTAGAAACCTTACCGGCACCGCAGGATCTTATGCACACCCTTTCGTTGGAAAACATTGGCAAGACTTCGTGTTTTTTGATTTTTTTGTTCACCGGGTTGTAACCGCCTCCTTTGACGATGAACGTTAAATATAGACACTTATCATCCGCAAACATCATATCCTGTTATTTTAAAGCAACGGTTAAACCATGACACGTTTAAATGTTATTTTAATGAACATAATATGTTCATTAAAATAACATTATAATACCTGACATATTATGTCAGGTATATTATAACCTAGGTTAGGCTGTAAATTTAATGCATTATTTATTCTGTATTATGCATTATACAATACTTTGTAGAATGAATAGTTAATAGTTCGATTAAAATTTGTTTTATATTATATAAAAGGTGTTTAGGTGTAATATGGTACCTACATGAAATTCTGTTTTTATATTTTAATAGTTTACCTATAATAGTTTATACAAATACAGTAGAACTCCGATTATCCGGACTAATTAATGTCAAGGGTGGTCCGGATAAGCAAATATCCGGATGATTGACGTATGACATTTTAAAAGTTATTTAGGGACATTGTAACACGAAAATTCACTCGTTATAATAATATAACAATTGACAGACTAAACTGTGTGATGATTATACAACAACTGACCATTGGGGGGTGCATAGGGGACTTTTGCACCACCGAGTTAACAATTTGAACCCCCAAAATATAAAATACTTATATTTTGATTATTTTGAAGTAAATATTATCAATAAATACAAACATGTTGTAAGTGGGTACTTCACTATTATGTTCCAACATTCCCAGCTAGTATAACACAATAACATAATATCAGTATAATAACAGTATAACATAATATTATGATATAATCTTTAGCTTAGGACCTTTTTTTTTCGTCCAGTTAATTGGACGTCCGTTTGATTGGCGTTCGGATAATCGGAGTTCTACTGTAAATTGTAATTGTGTAACTTGCTGAAAACAGTTTTATTTCTTATAATTGATGCTTTGAATAAAGTATTTTCATAATATTATTATAATTAAAAAAAAATAATTTAGATTTTTTTTTATTCTAAACTGCCATTTTTTTTTTTTATACATTTGTGATTTTTTAGCATAATTTGTCAATTTTTAGTGTTGGTAAATGTGCGTGCCTAATAATCAGTTTTTTAGTGCATTAAATTCACACACCTAATATCTCGCATGGTATTCATGTTTTTAACGATAAAATCGATAATAATTACCTTGGTATCGCCGGTCGATCGTTTCCTCATAAAGCTCAACGTTGTCAATCCTTCGGCGGTGTTACCGGTTATATTGCTCAAGTCTTGTGAAGCATCCAACAGAGGAGCAGTGTACCCGTTTATCCACGTGTCCATAAGGAACGGCCTTCCGGCTTTATCCACCCATCCAATTATGGCATCCGTTTGACTCTAATGAAGCACAAAAACAAGAGTTACAAACGAAATTCAAAGGATGAGGTGTCTATTTTCAAAACCAACTATAAACCATATTTAAATTAAATTAAAATTGTTTTCGCTATCAAATCACCAAATTATTCCTTTGCAGTTTTCGATGTACCTAGTTACCTATTTTATGTTCCGAATTTAAAAAAAAAAGTATTTGGTGGTTTTGAAAACATAATGAGTCCATAATGTCTCATATAAACGACTTAAATATTTAGTTATATTTCATAATATATCGGTTAGTTGTTTGAACAAACTTCTAAATTAAAGTTGTTTGTCCACGATATCTGCGGTGTTATATTAATCTTATTACACCTATACCATATATCTTACCATTTTGTGGTCGTCTGAAAACCCAATACCGGTCCAAGTACTGGTGTGAGTGGTAGTGATCGTGAATCGCATGTAATCAGTTTTCGACGAATAAGTCCACACCACGTGGTACTCGCACTGACCAGCGGTCACGTTACAGCCTTTTGGGGTCGACCACTGACCGTAACAGTTGCTGGGCGCCGGCGAGGAAACCTGCTGGACGGACGGCTTGTTATTACGACTGGTCAATGGATTTTCGGCGGTTTTCGTCGATTCTTGATCGTCGACCGATGGTTGCTGTCGTCCGGGTTCATCTACGATAATAAAGTGCGTACCATTATAGTGAAAGTCACATTGTTATTATTATGTTTCGCGAAGACAAACGGTGTGAACCGAGAAAAAGTATTGTGCCCGTACCCGGACATAAACGTTTTAAAATTAAATATAAATAATTTATATTTATAAATGAGACACGAGATAGGTATTCTCGATTAATATAATGATTGAGTTTAAAATGTGTATTTAATATCAGACATTATAATATTATTATATACCTGGTGTAGTGACTGCGCAAAAATATACTTAATGTTTTGGTAAATTTGTACGACTGTGTCACTTGTGTATGTCGAAAGCCGTTAAATTGTGCGGCGATCGCATCAGTAAACAATTTTGATACAGATAATATTTTAATAATATATATTTATATACAATACAATGATTTGCAGTTTAAAGAGTGAACTACACTGAACTTGTATAATAATACAAAAGAAAGATAATTTTAATTATTTGTATAATATATTGTATATCGATGAGCTTACGAAAGTATAATCGCGGATAGACTGTGTAATGATATTGGCAATAGACATATGGGGAAAATCGAAAAACTGTAAAAATATTGCTGGAAAGCATCCTTTGTAAATTAATAGAATAATTATGAAAGTGACAAAAAAAATAGGCGAGTATAATAATGCTCAATAGTGGAAATATAAATATGTTATGTAGTGATGAGTACTTATAATATTATTAATATTTATTATTTTACATAATATATATTACATTTTGTTCCTATATTTTAGGTTGAAAAACATTTATAATAATATTATGTTTTATGTTCACAATTATTGTATACTTGTATTATAAGACGTATAATACCTATACGTTAGTATAGTACCTAACTACATAGGTTTTTTTATATTTAATTTTGATACCTACTGATAATAACATTAATAGCTGATTGTACTCTGAAAATACGTAAGTATTATTGTGCATAAAATATTTTCTGGCATTGACATATTTAGTAGAAATACCTTTAAGTCTCGAAAAAATATTAAATCTCCATTGAAAAATCTTTCGCAACAGTTCATTATAACATTAAAGAATCTATAGACAATTTCTGAATGAACCGTAAGTCAATGTTAGGTTTTCTAAGTCACTAATAACAAACTAAAGTTTCAATTTGATATTTTTTTAAATATGGTTCAGTATAGTTGTGTTAAAATTTTTTTTAATAACTCTATAATCAAAACCATGTGATAATTACCAAAAAAGTTAATAGAAATCACTCCACGCTGGGACCCGTGACCGTGATATTTAAGTTCATCTTGTTTGTAAAAATCTTTTACAAAAGCAACATCTTTTTCCAGGCCAGATTTTGGAGAATGCTGATAGTTTTTCTGTTCTTGACCCTTAGCCCAAATCACGTGCATAACATCATCTACGATAGAGTGATCAGTAGGTTCGGTGGCTATAAAAGTATAATAATATTTCATTAGAATTTAATGCAATAGAGAAATAATAATATATATTTCCAAATGTCTAAAAATGTTAGTCACCCTTGAGTTTCTTTCTAAAAGCAATAGTCGTAACTCCATCTTTTTCGAATCCAACTGAAGCGATTAAATCATTCTTTCCACCCCAAAATCCGTCTACACGTGGCGTTGACCTAATGAAAAATATTATAATATTTTACCCGTAGGAAACTTAAAAATAAAATAATTTACCTGTCTCTAGTGTAATAGTCCCACACTCTGCTGGCTGATCCTCGAGCACTCCCTATCACTAAATCTGTGCAATCCATCCCGTTAAAATCAGCTTTGGGTGTGTACGTATTGAGTTTCATTTCTAAAATGTGAGCAATCACAATATTTAATAACAGTTGTTAAATATTTGTTCAGAAAAAAAAATAAATGATAAACTCTATTTTAACATAGGTACTAACATATTTTAAATTAATAATTACAATTTAATTTCTGTAAGTGCATTCATAAAACATTATAATTAAATAGTACGTTGACATAATTACAACAATAATATTATTGTAACATAATGTGATGTTATTAAAATAATATAATCGTTAACTTTAATTATGTCAAATAAATATTTACCTTTTTTGGCGGGAGCTTCGTGTTGATGTTCATGATTATGGTCGTGAGTATGATGATCATGTTGATGATCATGGTTGTGGTCGTGTTCATGTGATGAGTGGTCGTGTTCATGTGATGAGTGGTCGTGTTCATGTGAAGAGTGATCGTGATGGTTATGGCCTTCCTGACCTTTCAACCTTGGTTCTGGCTCTGATTCTGGTTGAGGTTCTAATCGATTTGTAATTTATTATAATATTTTGTACAAAATATATCAATATTCCAAGATTTTATAGATAGCTTACCATTTGGGGTTGATGCTGATCTAGTATTTCGTAGTTGGGCAAACACTGTAAGAAAATATAAGAGCGTCGATTATGACATTTTTAATTGAAGTGTATTATTATTATTATTATTATTATTGAAATGAAAATGAAATAACAATTAATTATAAAAATAAAATTATATTCAATAATCGTCCAAATAGTATTATTGTTATAATATGTGATTAGTTGTAAAAATGCTTTTTAGTTTTTACTAGATAAAAAGCGTGCTACTTGATATTTTCTAAGCTGCAAGGAAACAAATGAATCTTAGATATGTTTTTGAATTATCGACGTTTGTCTATAACGTGTTTATGTTCGCAATAGGTTTTTTGGCATTTAGAATTTGAAGACATAGTTACAAATGTCAAAAAAATTATTGCATTTATAAAGCCGAGTACCACTGTAACTACTATAGCACAAACAAAATTCGAATAAGTAAAATTTAATTGTATGATTAAAAAAAATGTATTCACCAGAGGCAACCTAGATACTATAACGCGAAATCAGTTAGAAAAAAAGTTGTACCCAGCCCAAAAACATATCTTAGCCAAAAAATGTTAAGTGTAATAATTGACTGGAAATTGTGATTGAATATATTTTTAAAAAATAAGAAAGTTACCTGGCCTTCCGTTAGATCTTAACGGTGCACTAGCAGTTGATGCTGCAGCTTCCGGTTCATCGGAAGGCTTTGGTTTTTGCAGTCGACCTCTGGTTCGGAAAAATGATGGTTTCGGCCTAGTGGAGCTTGCAATTGTTGTCGTTGACAAAGTAGTAGGTTCTGGTGAAGGTTCTGCAGTCGTTTCGGGCTCCGGTTCTGGTTCAGGTTTGCTACTTGATTTCTGCCCTGGTGTTTGTTTTGGTTCTGGTTCACTCTTTGGTTCTGGTTCAGTTTTGGGTTCCGGCTCGCTCTTTGGCTCTGGCTCACTTTTAGGTTCTGGTTCGCTCTTGGGTTCTGGCTCGCTCTTCGGTTCCGGCTCGCTCTTCCGTTCCGGTTCGCTCTTTGGTTCCGGCTCGCTCTTTGGTTCCGGCTCGCTCTTCGGTTCCGGTTCGCTTTTCGGTTCCGGCTCGCTCTTCGGTTCCGGCTCGCTCTTTGGTTCAGGTTCGCTTTTTGGCTCTGGTTCACTTTTGGGTTCCGGCTCGCTCTTTGGCTCTGGTTCACTTTTTGGTTCGGGCTCACTTTTAGGTTCGGGTTCACTCTTTGGTTCCGGTTCGCTTTTTGGTTCTGGTTCACCTAATGGTTCTGGTTCGGGTTCAGGTTTGGGTATTGCTGCAACAGCTTTTGCACCAGGCAAGTCTGCTAATGCTGGGAAATTTTTACACTCTGAAGTCAAATCTTTTGGTCGCCAACCTAACCCTAAGTAACTGGTACTGTTCGCTCTTAACACAACTTCTATCTCGCCTTCTTCTTTAAATATTTTCCAATATAAATGGAAGTCTTTTGAAAGCTCTTTGAACCTGTGATTGCTCAAATCGATTTCAGTTGATTTCAACGACGAACCTGAAAAATAGTAATAAATCGTATATAAAATTTTGCATTTTTTAAATTTTGATTTCTAATATTGTATCACGTTATTGATTATTTAATATATTTTGCATTGCTTTCACTAAATATACATAAATGTTAATGCTGTAACAACATTGATAGACTTTAAGGAACTATACACCATGCTGCCTCCCAGAGTTTGAGTACATACAATGGACTCAATTTACACATGTTATATAAATATGATAATATATTTTGAAGGTTGAATAATGTCTTATACCCTTCATGTCAGTGTCAAAACATAATATCTGCTGCTGACCATTCCGTTATTTAAAACCGTAATAACTGTGAAATTATTAACACTCTCTTATTATATACTTGACGTATAGAAATCGTTTCCCCAAATACAATTTAGAAAATATACACAAAACATAATATAATATATGCTATATCAACTTATAACTCATCTATGATTTTTAAACATATTTCTTACGTTTAGTGCATCCCGGTCCAAACCATCCGGGTTCGCAATAGCACTGTTTCCTAGGAGCGGTCGTCGCGTGGACATCTATACATCTGCCTTGATCGCCACAATCGTTGTCTTCAATGCATTCATCTTTGTATTGACATCTGGGGCCGTAATACAGTTTGTCGCACCGGCACTTCGATAATAAGTAACGGCCTTTGCCACTGCAGTCTTCTCGGTAATTTTTTTCTAACAAAATAATGCAATCAAATATCAATATATGCTTGGACTACGTGTTTTTAAAGCAGTTAAAATAATTCATCGATTTCTAGGGAGTTGTGTTTATAACTAATCATACACATGTATGAAATTACGTGTACTTTATGATTCGTAATAAACGTTTATTCGAACGGATTCGAGATTCGCTGACGACTACTGAGTTTTGTGTACACCCTTAAATTACGGGTACATAATAGTTGTTATAATAAAACAAACAAATAAGCGAATAATAATTACTGTTTTTGATATCGACATCTGCGCACGACCAAAATCTGTAGCTATTGCTGAATTCTAATGCTTCTCTGAGTAATCTAATGGTACAATCTTCACAAACGAAATCTCCCGGCAACTGAACGGCGTACGATTGAGCTCTGGAAAAAAATAAACCAACAACCATAATTAACGGGGATCGTCATCATAACGTGATAATATTAAACTATTATTATTATTATTTTATGCTGAAAGTAATAAGTACAATAGTTTATTGTTGTAGATGTATTATTGCAAAATAATTATCGAGTACCTACTTAAAAAAACAAAATGTGATGTAATGATTTTACAGTCATAGTCCATAGACTTTCTCCAGTCAAGTCAAGTCAAATAACAATATCGACAATAATACTACTTAGGTACAATGCTATCGATTTACAAGATGAATACAAAATGTAAATTAATTCATTATTGAAATTCAAGAATTATAAATTAGAATTCCAAAAGTTGTGAAAAATAAATTGCCTCGTTTGTCTTATAAAATACTATCGACTTATATTTTATTATAAACCATAAAGAATAGATAGAATACCAATACATTTAAAACGAACCGTGATAACTAGGTATATATAACGTCATAGTTAACCGATAACTTACAGATTAGTTAAAACGTACACAGTACTATATCAAATTACAAATACGAAATAAGAACAGAAAACAATAGGACAGTATAAAAAATATTATACCTAAACTGCGTGTATAAAAACAAAGTAAGTAGGTAAGTAGGTAGTTTTCTTATAGGCATAAGTAAGTAGATAATTTGAATAACTATATTAATTATTCAATAAAAATAAAATTATCACGATTTTATTTAAATTTTTATATTAAAAGGTTCGTGTTATCTAATTCTTCTAAGGAACTGAATTAGGTACTGTACAGTGAATCGGTGGATGTCTGTAATAATTATGATTATTTATTATTATATAAATATATAATATTACTAATTCAAATATTTGTTCGTAAACATTAGGTAATTTGTTACGTACCTATTATAAACCCTTGAGAATAAAGTATTAACCCACCGATGGCACGACTTAAGAATGAATAGTCACATAGCAAACATCACAATCGTTGATTCGCGAACATCTCATAAATACTATCAATTAACAGGCTATAACTTAACAAGCTATGGAAATGTTTACCCTCAATAGTATTGAATATCATACTAGTTATTACTTATTAGATACGAAAATAGTTCGATCAGAACACACGTTTTGGTACCTGGTATGAACATTGATTTGCTTTCGTTTATCAAGTCTCATGCCATGTCTCGTTACCAATAAAACATAGATAGCATTTTAATAACAACAAATTAATCAACTTATAGGGTAGAAGTAGAACTGTGGATATACTGGATAGACGGGTAGAATTGTACATACAATTATGGTTTGAAAATATGTTTTATTTACTATTATGGTTTCTATCAAGGTTTAAAATGTATAATTAAGTATGTGAAAGTATTAGAAATTCATATTTTAATTTCGAATAAGTGAAATATATATACCTACTTAAGGTATGTCTTACAATATCAGTTACATACCTATAATTATTACAAGATGGTAATTAATTTTCAAAATGTCGGCTATACGTCATAACGTTAAAACGAATATTGTTTAAGAATAAACATTTTCAAGATTTGAGTATTTCACATCAGTCATTTTTCGATCACTAAAATGACGGTAAAAATAAAGTTCAATTAATATATTAAAGTTATTGACATGTAAGATAGTTTTACAGAAAATGAAAGAAAATATTTGTTGGAAATATGACTCACTGTCGTAATTGTTAGCTATTGCGTTTTGTCCTTATCGTTCCATAAAAACTTGCAATAGTTACTTAAGTATTTATTATAGTTTTTTGTTCATTATATTTTTATGTTTAGAAATATTTTATATTTTTGTCAAGAATTTAGAAAAAAGTACCACCTACCCGGTAGTTTCTACCATGTCATTACCAGATCATGTTTTAGATTAATGTCTGTTTTAAAACATTTACACTATTTTTTCCCCAAGTAGTTGAGTCTTGACGACGACGATGACAACAACAATAAATGTAATTACTTATATAAATATGTTATCACTTATCATTAATATTAACCAAATACACATAAATTAGTAGATATACCTACAACCATACAAGTATTTATATTATAGTACCTACATATATATTAGTTAAAATAAAATATATTTAGTTACCTACCAATACTATTGTTTGAAACAAAAAAGCATGTCTGTGGAGTAAAGAAGAGAAAAAAGAAGGAAAACACGAACATTGAAGTTTTTAAAATTTACGGATTTTTACGAAATAGTTTTTTTGTATATTAATATATAATATGTTTTAGGGAAAAATATAACAGGTACTTAATTAGTAGGTACATTAATTATTTCAAGTTATTTTAAAATTAAAGAATATATTTTTATTAATTCAATTGTTTAGTTAATAAAAACAAATGCAACTATTTTTATGAGTTTAGTATTTATATTAATGCAAATTTTAACTTTGAAATTATATTATTTTTTGTAAATAATAGTAGGTATTACGATACAAAATATGAGTATTTTTTTTTTAAAAGTGTCAGTTCTGTTGCAGTATACTTACAAGTGATATCTTACGTAAGTATTAAAGATATATTAAAGTGCTCAAACTACTAAATTATTTAATTCAAAAACAGGTAACATTTTAGAGTTTTACTTTCAATTTAATGACAGTAATTCTATTAATTGTGTATAATTAATGAACGGTGATATTACTGATATTAGTTCTTAACAGTTAACAGTGAGTATATAATTTATAAAGGTATGCAGTATGAGTAGGCCGGCCAATGAGGCCAATATTATAATCTTAGGGATAAAAACAGGACTGCATTTTTCCCATTTATGGGGGCCCCCCATAACTTAGTATCTTTCGCTAGAGGACTTAACCCGAACTAGGTAACTACCTACTGACAGTAATTGTTGATTTTATTGATTGATTTCTTTATTCATATTAATATTACCTAGTGTAAACTAATTAAAACAAAAGAAATCGTTTAAATGGAATTGTAGAAATTGGCGATGATTTATAAATTACATTTTTCATTCCATAAAATTTACCATGGAAATTCATCGCTATATATTCATTCATATATAGCTTGTATTATAACAGTATGATAATTGCCATGTAGATATGCTTACTCAAATAGATTAAAATTTATAATATTGTGCTGTTTTTGATTTTTGTATAAATGTCAATAAAATATGATAATTAAAAAAATAGTTAACAAAGTTAATATAACTATGACGTGTTGATACAAACCAACATTTTTCAAGTAATAATCAGAAATGAAAATTTTAAACTTCTTCATCAAAGATCAGTTTTTTATAGAGTCTATATATTATATTATTGTATTGTAATATATCATTGTAATATAAAGGAGTAATAAAAATATATTTTATTACGAGTTTGGTATACATCACGACCAATTTGTATACTAGAAGAGGGCGTATTGTACACTTATTATATCAAACTCGATCATATTATATTACTAAACGTATTTAAATTATAAAAGTTTATTATTATTTTACTATAAAGATTTCCTTGTTGTCACACATATACTGCAAGGATAACGTGGTTAGTACACATCACGAGTCACGACTGTTGATTTAATTATGACATTTAGAAGACAAATATTTATGATTCGTATTTCGTATAAAGTCATACTGATTAAAAACAATGTTCAGTATTACATTTAAATAACGTATTCGTATACCTAGCTATAATATATTATCATAGACGTATAATGACCATAATAATATTGATATCATGACGAAATAAATCTATAATGGGAATTGTTTTTTAGAAACGTAATATTTGTATAATACATTCATTATTACATTAATTATGCACACAAATATACTATAGATCATTTAATTAAGTAAGTAATTTATTCTTTTTAGTATAAATTTTATATTTTTGGGATGGGTACAGATATTTTTTATTTTCTAACAAATTTTGCGTACCTAACATTTTGTTATAGAAACGAATAAAACGTAAGAATTACAAAATTCCGACTAGGTATATACACAATTAATGGAAACTTATTAACACTAATTCATAAATTGTCTTCGAAGTGGAAATGTCGAGTAATGGGCTACGTTTGTCTTTTTTCTAATTCTATTTTAACTTTAAAGAATAGGTGTGCTTTCTTGTCTTGCTACCAACTGTTTTATTTAGATAACAAACATAATATATCTACATTATTAAATATTCTATGTACAAAAATACTGTGATACATTTAAAACATGAAAGAAACAATGTAAATAATTATATTTTGATATCTAAACACCGTTTATTAATGGCATTTATTATGTTATGTATACAATTTTCTTAATATTGCTATTAAAACATATTTCGACATGGTTTTCTTCTACGACACTCCAACACGAATTATTTCACCACAATAACGTCAACGATAGTAATAATTTATTAGGCGTAATTATTTCTAAACGCAATTCACTTCCTATAACGTCCGTTACATAGGTAGGTAGTAAAATTGACTTTCAGAGACTCATTGGAATAAAACCCAGTGGTACTAATAAAATATAATAATAATAAATATACATGTTATAATATTATTTTAAAATCGTATTTTCAGAAACCTATAATGAGTTTCTGGAAATATGATTTTTATTTTTAAATTCTTACTACAATATAATCATAAAAAGCGATAAAAATAAACAATCAAATAAATTGTCTTGTATACCTACCTACTTCGGCATCTCGGTTGTATATAAAGTACAACAATTATACCTATTACATTTTTTATTATTCTTTTACGTTAAGTGGTGTTGATTAAAAAAATAATATATATTTATTATTTCTCGTTTATGATGACACAAGAAAATAACTATTGAGTACACTCTCTAATGTGGCAATGAAATAAATATAGATAACTTATGTGTTGATAAAATAATAAGACGACAGCTACTATACCTACCCAGTAGAATGCGGTTTATATGGTTTTAGAAATTATAAATCGATTTTACAATTTTAAGCAGAGGTTGTATATAATATGTAATTGTAGTTTTAATTTTTCTTTATTCACAATTAATTATACACTACT